GGACACACCGCCATAGTGACAGTACTGGGTAGCGTCACTAATCCTTTGAGTGGACATACCGCCATAGTGACAGTATTGGGCAGTGTCACTCATCCTGTGAATGAACATACCGCGATAGTGACTGTATTGAGCAGTGTTACTCATCCTGTGAGTGAACATACTGCCATAATGACAGTATTGGGCTGCGTCACTCATCCTGTGAGTGAACATGCCGCCAAAGTGATAGTATTAGGCAGCGTCACTCATCCTGTGAGTGGACACACCGCCATAGTGACAGTATTGGGCAGCGTCACTCATCCTGTGAGTGGACATACCGCCATAGTGACAGTATTGGGAAGCGTCACTCATCCTATGAGTGGACACACCGCCATAGTGACAGTATTGGGCAGCGTCACTCATCCTGTGAGTGACCATACGGCCATAGTGACAGTATTGGGCAGCGTCACTCATCCTGTGAGTGAACATACCGCCATAGTGACAGTATTGGGCAGCGTCACTCATCTTGTGAGTGGACACACCGCCATAGTGACAGTATTGGGCAGCGTCACTCATCATGTGAGTGGACACACCGCCATAGTGACAGTACTAGGCAGCGACACTCAACCTGTGAGTGGACACACCGCCATAGTGACAGTATTGGGCAGCGTCACTCATCCTGTGAGTGAACATACCGCCATAGTGACAGTATTGGGCAGCGTCACTCATCTTGTGAGTGGACACACCGCCATAGTGACAGTATTGGGCAGCGTCACTCATCCTGTGAGTGAACATACCGCCATAGTGACAGTATTGGGCAGCGTCACTCATCTTGTGAGTGGACACACCGCCATAGTGACAGTACTGGGCAGCGTCACTCGTCATGTGAGTGAACATACCAGGCTTGATATGGAGGCTTGGCGCTTCCTCCTGATAACTCTCCCTCCCTCCCGATAACTCTCCCTCCCTCTCTCAGTGGAGAGAGCTTCGGCCTCACACACACGTGGGGTCCGTGGTTCGAGCCTCCTACATCCCAGGTGAATGAAATGTTTATTTCCTGGGCAGTGTGAAAGACAAATTATTATTATAATAACAGTTTTTTGTGGCTGCCTTGACTATCACATCAACTGCCTCACTCAACAATATTCCCACATGTGAAGGAATCCACGTGAATCTTACTTTATGCCCATTGTGTTAGTGTCTTTATATTCTCTCTACACTCGTTCACTGTTTCTTCACAACACGTTTGTAAATCTTACTTAGCTAGGCAATCAATCAACAGTTGATTACATCCCGGTTTTAAAATGAATCGTCATAATTTTCAAGATCATAACATTAAACCACAAATGAAAAGGTAATAACATAAGTATATATTTTTCTTTAATTGTGACAGTTATTATAATTAAAATAATATATAGAAACAGCCACAAGGTGAAAACAATTCCATTCAGCCACAAGGTGAAAGAAATATTTAGTTTACCGTAGTTATCCATTTCATTATATATTTTCTTCTATATCATATCCGTTTTCTTTAATACAGTCTCCATCCCAAGCCTGCGCAATCACCCTTTGTCTGATGCACTTCCCACCAAATGAATTTTACAAACTCTTTAAATTTAGTACAAGAAACAAGGCAACAAACTCCACCAGTTGCGGATGATCATGATCCCAGAGACCACTTGTACAGCGTTTCATTTTGGTAAAAGAGATCACCACAATGGGGATGTTTCCCCACACAACCACAATGGGGATGTTTCCCTACACAACCACAATGGGGATGTTTCCCTACACAACCACAATGGGGATGTTTCCCTACACAACCACAATGGGGATGTTTCCCTATACAACCACAATGGGGATGTTTCCCTACACAACCACAATGGGGATGTTTCCCTACACAACCACAATGGGGATGTTTCCCTACACAACCACAATGGGGACGACTTCCACCACAGATCGCATATTTGTTTTTATTTTAACCACTACATCCGAGATTTTGATTATATCTGATATGTAGACCAGAAATTTGTAAGCAATGTGCACTAAAATAGTTTCTCGGGCCCCCCTCCGGGATTCGGGGGCCCTGAAGCCTAAGCTTCATTAGTTTCATGTAGAACCGCCTCTGAGAAGCTCTAGGAGCATCATACCAAATCGCTGACACAAGAAAAAGTTTACTAACCTCATGAGTTGTGAATCAAAAACTATTTGCCAGAATAGTGTACTGATAGCTGGAGATATCATATTTATTCATTTTGTTGATAACAGGATAATATTGTTGATAATATATATATATATATATATATATATATATATATATATATATATATATATATATATATATATATATATATATATATATATATATGTCGTACCTAGTAGCCAGAACTCACTTTTTGGCCTACTATGCAAGGCCCGATTTGCCTAATAAGCCAAGTTTTCATGAATTAATATATTTTCTCTAATTTTTTCTTATGAAATGATAAAGCTACCCATTTCATTATGTATGAGGTCAATTTTTTTTTATTGGAGTTAAAATTAACGTAGATATATGACCGAACCTAACCAACCCTACCTAACCTAACCTAACCTATATATATAGGTAAGGTTAGGTTAGGTAGCCAAAAAAAGCTAGGTTATGTTAGGTTAGGTAGGTTAGGTAGACGAAAAAACATTAATTCATGAAAACTTGGCTTATTAGGCAAATCGGGCCTTGCATAGTAGGCTAAAAAGTGCGTTCTGGCTACTAGGTACGACATATATATATATATATATATATATATATATATATATATATATATATATATATGTCGTACCTAATAGCCAGAACGCACTTCTCAGCCTACTATTCAAGGCCCGATTTGCCTAATAAGCCAAGTTTTCATGAATTAATGTTTTTTCGTCTACCTAACCTACCTAACCTAACCTAACCTAGCTTTTTTTGGCTACCTAACCTAACCTTACCTATAAATATAGGTTAGGTTAGGTTAGGTAGGGTTGGTTAGGTTCGGTCATATATCTACGTTAATTTTAACTCCAATAAAAAAAAATTGACCTCATACATAGAGAAAAGGGCTGCTTTATCATTTCATAAGAAAAAAATTATAGTAAATATATTAATTCAGGAAAACTTGGCTTATTAGGCAAATCGGGCCTTGAATAGTAGGCTGAGAAGTGAGTTCTGGCTACTAGGTACGACATATATATATATATATATATATATATATATATATATATATATATATATATATGTCGTACCTAGTAGCCAGAACTCACTTTTCAGCCTACAATGCAAGGCCCGATTTGCCTAATAAGCCAAGTTTTCATGAATTAATATATTTTCTCTAATTTTTTTCTTATGAAATGATAAAGCAACCCATTTCATTATGTAAGAGGTGAATTTTTTTTTATTGGAGTTAAAATTAACGTAGATATATGACCGAACCTAACCAACCCTACCTAACCTAACCTAACCTATCTTTATAGGTTAGGTTAGGTTAGGTAGCCGAAAAAGTTAGGTTAGGTTAGGTTAGGTAGGTTAGGTAGTCGAAAAGCAATTAATTCATGAAAACTTGGCTTATTAGGCAAATCGGGCCTTGCATAGTAGGTTCAGAAGTGAGTTCTGGCTACTAGGTACGACATATATATATATATATATATATATATATATATATATATATATATATATATATATATATATATATATATATATATATATATGTGTGTGTGTGTGTGTGTGTGAATGTGCGTGTATTTTCTATTTGTGCCAGCAATATCGAACTGTTAGCTCTTGGACCCGGCTCTTCTACCTTCGGTCGTCTAATGTACTGACTCTACCAATTTTCTGCTAGATGAACAGAACCAACAGGTGAAAGAAACTGGCCATTGGTTTCTGCGTCATCCGGGAATAGAACCCGGGCCCTTAATTAAGACTACAAACCCCAAGACCTGTCCACACAGCCTCAAGGCTCTGTGTATACATATATAATTTTATTTTAGTAAATTGTATTTACTATTTGTACCTGCAGGATTAAGCTCTTGGACCCCGCCTTTCTAATCGTCGGTTGTATTATGGTACTGACTCCCGACATATTTTTCTATCATAACTGCTCTAGTACAATTGACTAGAACACGTCTGGGAACATCCCTAGCATAGGTTCGAACCCTCAGCAAGGCCCTTGAGGATCTGTTCATCAATACACACATCCCCAGTTAGCAGCCCATAGCATGTCAAAATCCCAGGTACCTGTTTACTGCTAGATGAACAGTTAAAGAAACTCAACCCATATGGTTCTGCCTTGGCCGGGAATCGAACCCAGGCCCTTAGTGCTGGACAGCACTCGACCACCGAGTGCTGTCCAGTCAGCCGCAAGACAATGTGTTTGCATTCACCTAGTTGTGCTTGCGGAGGTTGAGCTCTGCTCTTTCCGCCCGCCTCTCAATCAATCAATCAACTGTTATATATATGAGTATGTGTATGTAAGCGTGCATTCATATCAAAGCAAAGCAAAGCATGTAAATGTATTTATGAATACATATTAAATAATAACCTAATAGCTATATGCATCTATTATTTACCATAATATATCTTCATGGTGATATATTCAAATAAATACTAAGAATTATAAACTTTTTGCCATTATTATGAAACATACATATCCAATAATTTATATTAACAATATTTGGAACCAATATATATATATATATATATATATATATATATATATATATATATATATATATATATATATATATATATATGTTACAATTCAGTTATAATTGAGCTGAGTTACATATACCAATAACTCAGCCGTAGACTGTTGACACACAGTACAAACAATAGTGGAGTCTTCATCGCATCAGCCGCCAAGTGGTTTGATTGACAGGAGTGGACAGAGCGGGAGGGAAATGTATTGAAAATGAGTAAAGGTGAGAGGGAGACATTAGCGCGGGTGGCGGGCTGGGGGGAGGAAGCCCGCCAGCCCGCCAGCCCCGCGCCTCCCTCCTCCTGGCAGTCAGCCGCGCCTCCTCGCCCCCACTATTTATTTACCGTACACCCATTGACGCCAGTGCAGTGTGTACCTCCACGCCCCCCTCTAACTCTCATCCTCGGTGCTCGCTTCGGGCAAGTCAAAGGCATAGGGCAGATAAATGTGGCTATATGGATGGTTTTATTCAACATCTCATGCGGTCTGGGTCTATAAAATTAGAACATCTGCCCCGCGTTTGTGTTCTTCGCGCGCACTACTGCTTGGCCGCATTCCGCGCCGAACTAAGTAGTACCTCATGTTTTTGTCCAATTCTATTAAATATCAGGAAAATATATGGGAAATAATATTTTATTGATTAACTATGTGTTATTTGTAAAACAAATGGTACATTGTTTTTTATGAAAACGTCTTAAAAATATATTAGTTTAAATTATCCCGCCTGGCCCAGCCTTGGCGGAGGAATACAAGTACTCATCAGTTTCCCGCCAAACAAGAGTCCTGAGCGCTCGAACACGGACGAGTGTTGCCTTTACTCGTGCTTATTTGGGTGTTTTGTGAGTGATTTGAAGTGTACAAGTGACTGATAGACGTAAACTCATTATAGAAGTGTTGCTCGAGGATAACGATGTTTCCTAGAGTAGGTGAAAAGCGTCGGATTGACGATATTGGCATCGAAGACGAAGAAGCCATCGGTTCGCTGTGCAGGTATGGCCGCCCAACTGTCACGTTTCTCTCCTGGCGGAGTATTCTTCAGCATTGTGCGTGAATAGGGTGAATTATGCATCGTTTTAGCTCCCTGGGTGGTTGTCACGACCTGGAAGTGTGTCTCGGCGCCGTAGTTAGCGTGTTTCTCTCATGTATTTCATCAGCTGATTGTGACGCCATGCCGGGCGGCCGATCAGCTGACAGCAGCGCCATATGGCTGCCGCTATATTTCGAGCGTTCACTCGCTTTACACCGCTTCTGCTTCTACTACTCGTTGTTATTCAGTATCATTTGACGTCCACGCACGCTCTGATAACGCATTTTCTGCGTAAAATGTCAAGTAAGCGTGAATATAAGGTTTGTTTTCTTGGAACAGCTGATATTGACGTGATCAGCTGATGTTCTTCACATGGCGGCGCGCACAAGCAGGGCGGGGCGGCACTCTCCCACGCCACCAATAATACTTAAATTCATGATGAGTACTTCAGATGGCGGTGTTTGTATACCGTTCTACTAATTTGGTGTTGTATTGCGTTAAATTTAATATGTATTTTGAACATTATTGGCGAGTCTTGTGGAGTATTAGTGCGTATGGTGAGCGGAAGTAGAGGCGCGTGGGTGTGTTGCAGAGGCCACGTCGACCCAAGGGTTATGTGGGTGGACTCTGTGTTTGCCCGACAGAAACGGCAATTAATGGGAAATTGAAGGAATGTATGTTACTAAAGGTGTGACTAGTTCGAACTGGGTTCAGATTTTGTCAATGTTAGCAATTAAATAGTAGAAAGTATTCATAGATTAGTTTAAAGTTGATCCTAGAAGTACAGATGCAGATACCTGTTGTCGTGGGTACGTTTGTGGAACATTATAATTTAAGTGTGACAACTGATTACTTAGCTGCTAAAACTGTTAAGCTGCAAAAAAGCAAAGGACAGATTAAGGCAAACTTGCTAGGATTATAAGATTCGTTCTAACCCAGAAAATAGCTTGTTAAGAGACCTATGAGATTTAAGGAAATGTAATGTTGAATTTCGTGTTTACAAAATTAAACATATAACTTCGTAATTGTCAAATATATATTATCGTCAATCCAGTGTGCAGGTTTCAAGAAAATGTTTGGAATCTGTTTTTGCTGGGTCAGTCATCCACAAGACCTTTGATAATTCAATGTGATAGAATTAACTGTGTGGCAGTGTAATAAACAACGGTACATAATTTGTAACATAAAGACTCAGCGAGCGGATACAATGTGTGGTGTGTGTACACGAGTCAGCTGAGCTGCATGTAAACAGTGACGCGCGTGATGTCATGCCAAGGCGCAAAACCGCTCATCAGCTGGTTGGGGAACTTGTTTTTGTAATGTACTTGCTTTTTGTAATGGATTACATGGTTTGTTTGTATATTTTGTATCGTAATGAAGTGGGTCATTTATTGTTGTCATTAATCATGATTTTTAATATAGTGCAATATATGCCTTCATACGGTGGTATATATTTCTTACTGTTTTGTGTAATTCGTAGACTGTTGAAATGAATTCATGAATTCAACTTCATTTCTGCTTGTTATTCATGAAGCGATGTCATTGACACCACTGAAGCCTTACACTAGATGCCAGATATACAACATCCAAATAACTTTGATACCAGTCAAACCTGATTAAACTATTCATTTGACATTTTCTTGTCCGCATTATAACCACATTCGTAAGTGTTCTCAGTGTCTCTGAAATTACTTTCGTTGTATATATACGAGAGTTCTTGTAAATTAATATTACAAATAATTATATTTACAATTATTCACAAGTTGCCTATGTTAGTTTTCTCATGTTCCATTACAGCCATCGTTGCTTAACTGCAAGCGGGACTTTCCCGAAACTTGATATCGATGGCAATATAATTTTGCATCTAGGCATTTGTTGAGGTCTGCCCCTAGGATGCAACCCCACAGTTGTATTACTCACGGTTACCTATTTACTGCTAGATGAACCGAGGTATTAGGTGAAAGAAAACATGCCCAACCATTCTGTTCAGCCCTGGAATCGAACTCTGGTTCCACTATTGGGAGTCGAGAACAAAGTTCATTCCATATTATATGAATGGGTACAGATAGTAAGTCGATTAGATTTAATCATTTGGTGTTTTGATGTAGGGCGGAGTGATTAGATGTGACGTGGTGGTGGTGGGTGTGGCTGTTGGTGGGGGGGAGAAGGGGAGAGGCAGGCTTGGAATGCGATTAGCAACTCTGGTGGTCGTTACGTTGACAAGATTAGACAAGTCGTAGGTGTTTATAAAACTGGTATAATATTGTAAGTGTAGGGCCCAGTGATTAGGATGTAAATATGATGGCGAGCGGGTTTGGGGGGGGGGGGTCTGATTTGGTCGGCGTGGCGCGCTGTCACTTGTGGTGGGTGTGGAGCGGGGAGAGGACTGGACGCTCGTCCTTGTGTAAACATGGTTGTGGAGCGTCTTTGCCCTGGGCGGCCAAGTTCACCCTCACCGCCCGCCGGGCAAGCGTACTACCAAGACCTGTAACGGTAGTAATGGTCTTGTTATTGGCCATGTGCTCCTCCACGTGGTGTCCTCTTATGTCCACGTGAACACCAGTGAACACGGGCATTTACATTCTCTTTCAACTTCTACTATTTTGTTAGATTGACACATGAGAAATATATTAAACTAGGTCTTAGACATCAAGTTTCTAGTATTCTATTGAGACTTGATTCATTGACATTATTAATGTGGCTTTTGTCAATATCTTAGTATGTGGTTTGTCTAATGTGAACATGTCCGAATAATTGGACGCTAGTTTTTCTTAATGGGAGAACCTGACACCACCAGCTGACAGCTAAGTGGTGTGGGGTTTATTATACTACACTCGCTCAGCTGGTGCTCCAGACGGTGTCCTTCACTCGTGCAGCAAAGTCGTTGCAACTTCGCTTCTCGGCTGTTGTATTCCATCCTGGATCTCCAGACGAATTGTTGCCATTACGGGTTCCCTCCTTCAACACCCACCTTCCCTCCATAATGTATGAGGTTGTCGGCTGTAACTGCAGTGTGACAACGTTCACATTCACCCACTTGCCCTTTTTTAGTCCTTTCCTCAGCAGCTTGTCACGGTGGTCGTGGTGGGTTGTAAACGCCTTTTTGGGGATGAAGTATTTAATATGGTTTCCTTCACCGAACAGCACATTGCTCCTACGTTTCCACAGATGCCAGCATGAGAGGGAATCCACAGGAACTTGATCATCTTCCATGGTTGGTTATCAGCATATCACCAGCTGACACCACCCACCCACCCACCTGCCGTATCACCCACCCGTCGACCCACCCGCTGCATGCATCACCAAAAATAAAATGTTGTGAAGCAGCAGACAGGAGTCAACACCGCCAGCAAGCACCCTCTCCTCGGGCCGCTGAGTCATTTCCACCCACGTGAGAAAGGTGCAACAAGTCACTAGCCTGGTGACTGGCAGTTCCTCTCGAAAATCGTTTTTTCTTCTTCAATGTGTTTTGACGAGACTCGTAGTTTTGGTGCAATTTCTGCACGTGGTTACACACTACACCTCGCAGCTATATTGGCAAGGTGCTGGAGGAGAACCTGTGAAACATTAGGAGGTAAACAAACCAGAATTCGAGCGGAGCGGAAGGCTAGCCTGGGGCCAGTTTAGGGGGGAGTGGTGGCGTAAGGGCCCAGGTGGGGGCGAGCCTGGGGCCAGTTTAGGGGGGAGTGGTGGCGTAAGGGCCCAGGTGGGGGCGGCCCCACACCTAAGCAACCACCTTCAAAATAAGACTGTCACCACCAGATGCAATCGAAGCTGTTTCATAAAGATTGTGCAATAGTATTAGCACACATTTGTAGGAAATAAAATGGATGTAACAAAGATGCTTCACTTTTGAAGACCAAGATAAACAAGTGGGAAGGAGGTGGGCCCAGGGCGACCATACAGACAATGGGGGTGGGAGGGAGGGTGCGGCCGACCCATACCTTGAGGTGACCCATCCATACAAGAGGAAAGAAAGTAAATGCACTTGGCAACCTCCTAGTGAGGGCGAGGTCCGTCTGGGAGAGAGGAGACAGGTAGCTGGCCTTGTGGCAGCACAGGAAAGTCTGAACCAGGGGGGAGCGGGGCACACGGTACGGGAAGGCTGGCTTGAAACCCTTTTAGGAAAGAAGGCCATGGGGCATAGTGTAGTGAGGTGAGGAAGAGGTGATTAATGCGAGAGATTGGTCAGTCATTATATGCGCCCCATACCCGTCCTGTGGCCGCTGGTGGAAAGGCTTACACAGGCACATAATGGCTTCAGCAACTGAACTCTGTAGTTCATTTAGCTAAGCAAGTAACATCATGTGAAGCTAATTTTTTTTTATCTCGCGTGCGCGCCACACACACACACACACACACACACACACACACACACACACATACAGTGTCAGAGTAGTTGACAAATGGGATGCATTAGGAAGTGATGTGGTGGAGGCTGACGCCTATTACACAGTTTCAAGTGTAGATATGATAGAGCCCAATAGGCTCAGGAATCTGTACACCTGTTGATTGACGGTTGAGAGGCGGGACCAAAGAGCCAGAGCTCAACCCCCGCAAACACAACTAGGTGAATACACACACACACACACACACACTCTGTCTCTGTCTGGGTGGGTGGGTGGGAAAGCCTGTGGCTGAGTGGAGAGCGCTTAGGGCTCATAATCCTAGAGTCCAGGTTTGATCGCAGCGCTGGAGGAATCAGATGGGGAAAGTTTTTTCACCCTGATTCCCCCTGTTACCTAGCAGTAAATAGGTACCTGGGAGTATACGTGAGTGTGTTGTAGCGTAAGTCCACGTGTAAGAGTGTGGAGAAAAGTGACATGATGGGTGGAATGGGGGTTATGAGGGAGTGGATTAGCGGACTTGGTTTGGGGGAGGGGGGGGGGGCAGCGAGTGGGGTTACTCAAGGCCAGCTGGTGAAAGGATGTATGGGTGTTTGTGAATAAGAGATTTGGGCGTC